AAGGTGATGAGCATCCCGGACGTCATCCGCCTGAAACAGGAGCAGCACGTGCACAATGAGAAGTCCGTGCTGAAGGAAGTCAGCCACCCGTTCCTGGTCAAGCTGTGAGTGCCCCCCGCCCCGGGTCCCCCCCTCCACCGCCTCAGCCTCCCGGGCCCCACGTGGGTTTTCTTGCAGGGGGCGCACGGTGCGGGGGAAGCCTCGGCCGGGGGGTGGGGACGCTCCTGAGCTGTCTCAGCTCCCAGGTGTGACATCCTGCAAGGACCCCTGAGCCTCCGCCTGGCCAGATCCACGGGCAAAGGCGCTGTTTCCACAGGTGCCTTCCCCGGGGCAGCGGGGTGGGGGTGCCTGTCCCGCCCGAGGCTCTGTCCCCCTCCTCGCATCTCCGTCTCCCTGGAGAGCCTGCCCGGTCACTTCTTCTGGGACCTCACTCACCTGCTCAGCTTCACTCACTCACGTCCTTCGCTGAGTCCCTCGCTGGCTGTGAAGTATCTCCATGCACGGGCTCCGCAGAGCCGTCCAGCTGCATGTGCCTGCCGTGCACCCAGTAAACCCGTTTGTCCCACGCTGCTTGTTAATAGAGGGTCCGACCAGCTCCCACGGAGGTGCCGGGGTGCGGGCGTCCGCAGAGGGCTCCCTGCCCCATCCGCAGCTGCCCTCCATCCGATCCCCACCTCTCCCCTCCTCATGCCCCTTCTCAGGTGTGCCCGCCGCCCCCCAACCCCCAGCAGCTCAGGGTCCTAAGGGCTCCTCACGGACTCAGCCTTCACCTCTTGTCCACTGTTTTTCCCCTCTGTTGTCCAATCTTGGAAGGACACCTGCAGTAGGAGGTGGGAGGCAACGTCCACCTGGCAGTCTAGGGCCACCCCGTCCCCTGCAATGCCTCCTTCCCCTGCCTCACCCCTGCCCCTCACCCCTCCTACCTCACCAGTACCTGCCTTTCTTCTGCGATACACCCGCCGAGACACACTGTCCAGTGCCCTGCACCGTGGTCTCAGAGCATCTTACCCGTCCCCGAGCGAAGCCACCGGGGCCCCGTCCCCAGGTCCTGAAACAGCGTCTCACTCCGAGTGGGGACGGGTTGCGTGCTTAATGAGTGAGCAAAGGGAAGCGGCTGTCTCTTCGTCTCCCTTTCCTTTTCTGGAGCTGAAAGGCAGTCTTGGGCCGATGTGAAAGGGTCAGTTGAGTCTCATGCTTTTGAGTCACAAAAGCAGAAGGAGCTGGTGCATCCACGTCACCAGCCCTCACTGGTCAGCTCTGCTGCGTCCCCACTTGGCCGGAAGAGCATCTCGTTTTGTCTCTTCTGTGAGCTGAAATAGCGACTCTGGGAGAGGACTTCAGTTCGCTCGGGTTTTCAGTACACATTTTATAAAGGAGACGTGGTCTCCTTCACGTGCTGCCCGATCATGCTCACGTGGTTTACGAGAACGGTCTGGGACTTTTACCAAATGCAGTTAAGTCTCAAGCCATCAAGTCGGGGTGTGTCCCACAGGGTGCTTTGCGGCTTGAGTTTTCTAGCAAGGCAGTGCGCCTGGCGGCTGGATTTCAGTCTGCTCTGGAAACCAGATGCCATGGTCTGTTCCGTGTCTGCGGTGAAATTAGGAGAACCCGAAAGAGAAGCAGACGGAATTGATGGTGGAGAGAAAAAAAAATCTGAGACGCTGCTGTTGAGAAGACGGAAGTTTGGGGAAGAGGGAAGAAGCCAGTGGGAGGAGTGGTTTTCAGGGCTGAGTTCTTTTTTCGGCTCAGGCGCATCCCCCTGGAAACGTTAGGGTGATGCTATAGGGAACCTTGGGTGAGGGCTTCCAAGGCTGGGAGTTGCACCTTATTGGGGGTTGAATTGTGTCCACCCTGTAAAGTAAAGATGTGCTGAACTCCTTACCCCAGCACCTGTGAATTTATTTAGAAATTGGGTCTTTGCAGGTGTGATGAAGACGTAAGTTGAGGTCCTATAGGAATAGGGTGGGTTCATCCTGCATGACGGGTGTCCCTGTAACAAGAGAAGAAGACACACAGAGACACAGAGTAGAGAAGGCTGAACTTGGGGTTGACGAGGCCACCAGCCAAGGACCCCCAAGGATAGCTGGCAACCACAGGGAGCCAGAAGAAACCAGGATGGATCCTTCCCTAGAGACTCCAGAAGGAACCGACCCCACCGACACCTTGGCCTTGGCCGTCCAGGCCCCAGCGCGGTGAGAGGTTACGCTCGTGCTGCTTAAGCGAAAGGTTGGGGTCTCCGCTGACGGCCGCCCCGGGAAGCCAGTCCACACCCCATCACCCACCTGGAGTGGGGACCAGCCCAGCAGGTGGGCTCGGGGGAGGCTTTGTGACTAAGCCAGAGACGTCCCCGGGATAGAACCCTGCAGCTTTGGGGGTTAAAAGGGACCAGGACAGAGTTAGCGGTTTTCCTTCCCAGGTGTGGTAGATGTCCGAATCCAGAGGGACCTACATTCCGTATCTCGATGCTCTTTCTTTTCAGATACGGATGGAAGCTGTTGGCCTCACAGAGGCAGTGGGGTGGAATTTGACCCTGAGTTATCTAAGTCAGGTTTTGTCTTTTTTTTTTGGTGGCGGTGGATTAGGTTTATTTATTTGTTTATTTTTAACGGAGGGACTGGGGATGGAACCCAGGACATTGTGCATGTTAAGCACGTGCTCTACCACTGAGCTACGCCCTCCCCTCTAAATCCCTTTTAGGGAGTGTGGATTCTCCGCACCTGGGTAGCTCCGTGATGCGACAACGTGTGTGCACCCTTGATAATCCTGACTCCCACTCAGCTCACTGCGTGTAGGGTGCAGCTGAGACTGGTCCTTTTATACATCAGGTCCACCTGGAGGTGTGGCCAGGGGGCAGGACTTTTTCCTGGTCGTTTATTCTATAAGGTCATCCATCTGAGGGTCTGTGTTCACATTCTGTCTTCTTACAAAGACACCATTCCTGTGGGATCAGGGCCCACTCTGATGACTTCATTTTACCTTCATCACATTTTTAAAGATCAAATTTCTAGATGTAGTCATGTTCTCAGGTTCTTGGTGTTAGGGCTTCAACATACGGATTTTGGGAGAGGGGATGCAGTTCAGCCCAGAACACCTATGTAGTGACTTGCTAAGAGTAGGTCTTCCAGTGCATGAGGCTCTGTTGACAGTGTACGCGTAGCATTTGGATAGTTTCTGTGTAACAGTTCAGCGACCACGCAGTGTTTAAAAGCTCAGTTTATGAAAACAAGACTTATCCTGTGATCCAGCAATCCCACTCCTGGGCTTATATCCAGAGAAAACTCTAATTCGAAAAGATACACACACCCCAGTGTTCACAGCGGCACTGTTTACAATAGCCAAGACATGAAAACAGCCTAAATGTCCATCAACAGGTGACTGGATAAAGAAGAGGTGGTATATTTATACAATGGAATACTACTCAGCCATAAAAAAGAGTAAAATAATGCCATTTGCAGCAACATGGATGGACCTGGAGAATGTCATTCTAAGTGAAGTAAGCCAGAAAGGGAATGACAAGTATCATATGATATCACTCATATGTGGAATCTAAAAAACACACACACACACACACACACACAAATGAACTTAATTTACAAAACAGAAAGAGACTCACAGATGTAGAAAACAAACTCATGGTTACCAAGGGGGAAGGTGATGGGGATGGAGGGATAAATTAGGAGTTTGGGATTCGGATGTACACACCACTAAGTACAGAATAGATAAACAAGAAGTTCCTACTGTACAGCACAGGGAACTATATTCAATGTCTTGTAACCTTTAACGAAAAAGAATATGAAAAGGAACATATGTATGTGTGTGCATGACTGAAACATGATGCTGTGCACCAGAAATGGACACAACATTGTAAACTGACTATACTTCAATTGAAAAAAAAAAAACTAAGGCTTAAATGATTTAGGGTGTGACTGGGCTCTTGAAATGCCCCGTGCACAGCCCGGGAGAGAGATCACGCTGTGTCAGACCAGCTCCGCCAACAAGTGAAGTTGGGTGCTCAGGGCCACGTGGTGCGTCACACGATTTAGTGGGAAGAGCCCATGAGTAGTGAACCGCCCATGGTGCAGTCTCTCTTGGAAGGCAGTCACTTCCCCCAGCATCTGCTTTCTGCACTCTCCAGAAACGTTGACAGGGCTTCACTTGTCTTTACTCAAAACCGCATGGAATTCTGATGGTACCAGATAATCTCACAGAACAGAGGCTCAAGTTTGAAATTCCACTCGAATGATCTGGCAAGTCCGCCCCGTGGCGTTATCAGCGTTGGGTATGTGAAGGACTACTGGTTGTATTTTTGAAAGTAGGCCAGGACGTTCATTACACACACATCAGAGAACGCATTCTGTTCCAGGAGACAGCCTTTCCAAAGGCCAGCTCAGCCACTGTGGAGATAATTTTAGAAGCACTGAATAACTCCCTGTTCACAGTGCAAAAGAATATGTCACACAGTCAAGATGTCCCGGGGAGAAAGGCTCGTGTTCTGTCCAAAGACCATGACCCCACGCCTGCTGCTCGCCTCTTAACGTGTTTAGAAATTGCTGGCGTCTTAGAGCTGTTTGGATCTACAATAGGGCACTGTTGACATCTGGGGCCAGATAATTCTTTGTTGGGGCTGTTCTGTGTAGTGTAGGGTCTTTAACAGCATCCCTGATCTCTACTCCCCCCTACATGCCAGTAGCTCTCATTCCCCAGTGGTGATGACATAAAAATGTCTCTAGACATTGACAACCTGCCTCCTAGGGTCTGAAATAGTCCTCAATTACAGACCACTGCCATAGCTAGATAGATAAGTGGATAGACAGATGATAGCATTAATAGATTAGAGAGATGGATGGATAGGTAGATATGATGGAAGAATGGATGGATGAATGGATGGAGGATGGATGGATAGATGCATGGATGGATGGATGGATGGATGGATACATAGATGGATAGGTACATAAGATAGATGGGTGGATGGATGGATGGATGGGTTGGTGACATGGGTAGATGGATGGATGCTTGGATGGATGGATGGATGGATGGATGGATAGATGGTTACATAGATGGATAGACAGATAAGATAGATGGGCGGATGGTTGGATGGATGGGTGGATGGTTAGATAAGATGGATGGATGGATGGATGGATAGATACATGGATAGATACACAGACAGAGAGGTAGGTAGGTAGGAGGAACTACTGGCAGCTAGTCGGTGGAGACCAGGGAGGTGGAGACCTACAGTGCACAGCACAGCCCCCCACCACCCCCAACCCGAAAATGTGTGTATTAGTCTGCTACGACTGCCATGACAAAGCACCACAGAGTAGATGGCTTAAACAAAAGATATTTACTGTCTCCCCATCCTGGAGGCTGGAATCTGAGATCCAGGTGTCAGTAGGGCTGGTGTCTCCTGAGCCACCTCTCCTTGGTGTGTGGAAAGCCGTCTCCTCCCTGTGTCCTCCCGTGGTCATCCGTCTGTGTGTGTCTGGGTCCTCATCTCCTCTTCTTATAAGGACACCAGTTCTAAGGGGTCAGGACCCACCTTAATGACTTCATTTTGCCTTCATCTCCCCTTTAAAGACCCCATCTCCAAACACAGCCCCATTCTGAGGTCGTCAGGTTAGGAGCTAACATATGAAGTTGGTGGGGGCAGGAGGGAGGAGACACAGTTCAGCCCATAACAGCTGCAAACCAGTTTATTTAC